TAAATAAATAAATAAATAAATAAATGAAGCAGTGTTTTTTAAGAAGTAATTTCATTTTTATTAAGAAATCTCAAGTCAATATGCTATGGAAAAAATCAAAACCAATTCCTGACAGAAGGAAAGACAAGTGTAAAAATGCCATATTGGGGACTGGAGAGATGACTTAGCAGTTAAGAACACTTGCTGTTCTTCCAGAGGATCTGGGTTCTATTCCCAGTACATGGCAGCTAACAACTGCTTATAACTCCAGTTCCAGGGGATCTGACACCCTCTTCTGGCCTCTGCATTGCATTGCACATGTGTGGTACGCTTACATACATGCAGGCAATACACTCATATGCATAAACTAAAAATAATAAAAAAAATATTAAAAAGGCATGGAATTATGGGATTTAGAATTAGACTGTAACTACAATTAGATCATAGTACTGCCCTGAATTCATTCTGACTTACTCTTTGTCCCAAGCATGTATGTAATCACAGTACTTGGGGGATGGAGGCAGGAGGATCTGGATTTCAAGGTCATCCTCAGCTACATTTTGAGTTTGAGGCCAGCCTGTGCTACAAGAGACCCTGTCTCATACAAAATCAAACCAAACCACCACCACCAAAAAACTTGCCCTTTGGCCAGGCATAGTGGTACAGGCCTTTAATCTCAGCACTTGGATGGTAGAGGCATCTCTATGAGTTCCGGGGCAGCCTGGTCTATATAGCAAGTTTCAGGCCAACCATGGCTACACAGTGAGATCTTGCAGCCTGGTCTATATTAGCATGTTCCAGTCTAGCCAGGGTTACACAGTGAGACCCTGTCTTTAAAAAAAAGTGGGTACTTGAAGGAAAGGTAAAGTGTGGCACAAGCCTGTGATCAGAACTGGGTAGGCAGAGGGATTTCAGCTGCAGACTAGCCTGGAATACATAGTGAACCCACTTAAAAATAAAAGTATATATGTATATATTATTATCCTCTTATCCCCCTGTATAGATGGAAAACGAATTTGGCAGGAACATGCTGGTTAAGTCAAGCCCTAGTCCTATCTGCCTGCCTCCCTCCTACTGTGCAGTTTCACATTCTGGGATGGCACATGGCGCCTGCTTCCGCTCTACATGGTCTAGAGAGGCAGAGGGATGGGCTGCACAGGGAACCCATTGTGATGGAAGGGAAGGAGGACCTAGCTGTGTGGGAGAGTGGGTGTGAGGGTGTGCAGACATAATTCCAACTGTAGGGTGGAAAAAGGAACAGGCTGGATTTCGTACAAGGCTGGACGAACATTTGATCCGGGGTGCACTGAGAACAAAGGGCAGCCAGGCGCGGTGGCACACGTCTTTAATCAAGCACTGGGGAAGGAGGAGGCAGGAGGACTGAGAGTCCAGCCTGAGCTACAAAAGCGTTATAGGGAGACCTTGTCACGCACACAAAAAAGGAGCAGAAGCTGAGGAAAAGGAAACCGAACTTGCATTTATGTCTCCATAGTAGGGGCACTCACAGGCCTTCCACGATCTCCAGGATCCTAATTATGGCACGCTGTAAAATTTACAACCCTTGATAGGTTACCTGCAGGGCGGCAGGGGCGGAGCCTCCTGAGCCAATGGGAATGCCGAAGCGCCTTCGCACCAGGACGTGATTGGTCAGAGGCTGCAGGGGGGCGGAACCTGTCCCAGCCGGAAGGAGGCGCGTTCCCCCAGGCCCCAGGAGAAGCTTCCATGGAGGGGGCAGAGGCGGCGGCGTGGGAGGGGACCGCAGTGGCCCTGGACTTGCTAGCTCTCGGGTAAAGGGGCTCGAGGGTGTGACAGCGGGTGCGGAAGCGCGGGCTCGCGGGGATACACACTGACGCCCGCCCCGCCGCAGGTATGGGGCTCTCCCGGAGGTGGCGTCGCGTGGCCCCGGGTGTCCAGCCTTCAGGCTGCTGTGCGCGCGGCTGGCGGCCGAGCTGGAGACTCTGGGAGCTCTGGAGCAGCGAGCGGAGGGCTCCGGAGTGCTGAGCGCCGGCCAGGGTGCGTGTGCGGCGGGATGGGCTGAGGGTGGAGCCGCGGGGTCCGCCGCGCCCTGATGCCTCCCTCCTTCCGTAGGTCCCGGCGCGGAGGACGCGTTCCTGCGACAGTTGGCCGGCCTGCTGCGGGCCTTGCACTGCCCTGATCGCGCGCTCTGCGGGCGAGACTACGCGGTGGTGTTGCGGGAGCCCGGCGGCGGCCTGCGCCTGCTGCGTGAGCCTCGGCTGCCCTGGGAGGCGGAAGTGGGAGGGGCCTCGAGGCTGGGGCGGGCTCGGAATATTGAAGAGGCTGGGCTTCCCGAAGGGGCGTTGTCCGGAGGGTCCGAGGTGGGTGGAGTCAGGACTGCGGCGGACCTAGCGTTCTGATGAAAGATTCTGAAAGCTTGATCAAGTGGGTTGAGTTAGATGGACATGTCAGGTGTATGTGAAGTGGGTAGCAGGAGGAGGGACAAGCCTCACAGTGGGTGAGGCTCTCTCTGGGGGCTGGGGGCGGGGCCCGGGTTATGGGTGCGCAGGAATAGTGGGGTAGCCATTCTTCACAGTGGTGCCTGTAAGGAAGGATCTGTTCCTATTTTTAGGCTTTCTTTGCTCCGAGCTCCACGCTGCCCGTCTCTTGCATCTGCAGCTCCGACTACGTTCTGGTCCTGTGCTTCCCGTTGGAGAAGGGACAAAAGAAAATGGCATGGTCCAGGAACTGATGCTGATTCTTCAAGCTCTAGGACTCCCTAAACCCATGCCTGGAACCCTAGCCAGCCAGCTACTTCGGGAGTTTCATGGCAAGGTGGAGAGTCCTCACTTGAGCTACCTTGCCTGGGGGAGTGAATCTTTGTCTTCAAAAGCAGCTCTAGCAAGATTGTCCAACCACAGGGATGGTTTTAGAGCTCTGGCCAGCACTCTTGCTTCTGGAAGGATCTGGGTTCACAGGACTGAAGGGAACTAGGGTCCACAAAGAGAGTCCACCCTGTTTGTGCCTCAGTTGGCCTCTGACTTCTCCCATCAGATCTCGGAGCTGTTGCCTTCCCTGCCCCCAGATTCCATGCAGCCTCTCCTTAGCTCCCCACTGGATGCATCACGATGGGTAAGAGTGTATATAGACTGCTGTGAACTTTGTCCTCATCAGAGATGGGACCTCTGCCATGACTGAGAACTCTCCTCCTAGGAAGCGCTGGAGTCTCTGTCCCAACGCCTCACAGAACAGTATTGCTGCCGCCGCTGCCTCCTTCTCAAGCGTCTGGATCTGACAACATCGGCTTTCCATTGGAGTGATCGAGCAGAGGTGTGAGCAGAGGATCTTAACAAGAGTAGGCAGGGCCAGCATGGGAACCACAGCTGCAGGGGAGAGGAAGGAGGACTAGGAATATTACCCTCTGGGAAGTTCTAAGGCCCAGGCCACTTTAAAAATCTTATAAAGTTCAGGGGTTCTAGACTCTCAGGACCTCAAGCGCATTCCCAGCTCTTCCCAGCTCTCAGCTGGCAGTGTCCTCAGATCTACTGTTATATACCAAAGTGGGCTTGTAAGACTATCTCAGTCTGTTTATGTTGCCACAACAAAATACCTGAGGCTGGGTACTTCATAATGAAAGTAAGTTTGTTTTGGTTTATGGTTTTAGAGGCTGAAAAACTCAAGCTTTGGCAGCCAAATCTAGCAAGTATTCCATACTGTATCACAGTACCATGGTGGGTAGCACTACACTGTGGAAAGATGGTTAAGGAATTGGGAGTGGAAAACAAGTCGTCATAGCTCATGCCTCTAATCCCAGCATTCAAGAGGCTGTGAGATTGAGGCCAGCCTGGTCTACACAGCTAGCTGGGGCTACAGGGAGACCCTGTCTCAAAAAAACAAAAACCAAACAAAATCAAGGCCAGTGAGATGACTCTCTTGGTAATGAATCCAGTCCAGTGAGATTTAATCCACTTCTGATAAACTTGCATTAATCCCTTCCAAGGGTGGTATCCCCTATGAAGTGCTTACCTTCACCTAGGCTCTCTACCTTTTAGAGGTTTTACCACTTCTTTTTAAATTTTTAATTAAATGTTTTAAGACTGGGTCTCATGTAGCCCAGGCTGGCCTCATATGTTGCTGTGTAGCTTACAATAACCTTGAACTCCTGATCCTTCAGCCTCTGCTTCCCAAATACTAGGATTACAGCCCTGCACCACCATACCCAGCTTTCCACCATAGCGCCTGTGCCTTTCGGGAACAAATCACATCCAAGATGCTTTCCACCTGGGATGAGTTCTTGGACAGCTCCTCCATGTGCTCCCCTCCTACTCCAGGCCCAAGGAGAAGCCATGAAGACAGTGCTGTTTCCAATCCGAGAGGTTCTGACTCCAGAATCAGATGTCTCCATTGCGCACATTCTGGCTGCCCGAGCTGACCTTTCTCGTCTGGTCCCAGCCACCAGTGTGGCTGCCCGCCAAGGGACTTGCTGTGCCATCAACAAGGTAGGCACACGTGGGCTAGGGGAGGGCCCCAGCATCTATGGCCTTCCCCTAGTCCAAGCTTGCCCTCTTCCTCCTGGATTCCTACTCCAGTGCAGTTCCTGGTTTCTGACCTCTGGGCTCACTAGCTCCAAACTACTCCCTTCAAATGACAGCTAGAAGGACTTTTCTCTTTCAGCTAGGGTCTAGTAGAGTCCAGGCTGGCCTTCAACTTACTGTATAGCTGAGGTTGACCTTGAACCCCTAATCTTCCTTCCTCCACCTCCCTAGTACTGGGATGATGGTGTACCAGCGTGCCTAGTTCTTTTTTCTTCCATTTGAAACTTATCTAATCAATTCTCAGGTGCTTATGGGTGATGTGCCAGACCGTGGGGGCCGCCCTGGTGAACTGGAGGCTCCTATGCCTATCTGGAAGAACCGAAGAGAAGATGGAGGTGGGGGAAAGGCTGGTGGCCAGCACTGGGGTCGTAGGAAGAAGAAAAAGTAAAGAAGAATGGCGGGGGAGTCAGTAGAGGGTGTCCTCTGTGAGGTGCTGATGCCACTGGTAATCCTTGGGGAATCGCTTTTGAAAATATCTCCTAGTGCCCAAGCCTTAGATGTCCTACCCCTGTCTAACACTCAACAGTAAAAACCATGTTTTCTGAAAAATAAATTTGTTTTTCATGGTTATAGGATGTTTCTATGGGGACCAGGTCAGGGATGAGGGTTTGTGGAGGGGCAGGGGGTGTCTCTGCCGCCCTGCACCCTCTCCATCTGGGCAAGTCCTTTGCTCTTAGGCAACATGTCTTTACCTTCTTGTAGGTGTGTGGAGCATATGGCAAACACTTTACATATTCCTGCCTGGTGCCAATCCTGTGCTAGGCATGGAGACACAGTAAGAATAGGCACAGATCGATATTTGTGTGACATATCTGACGTCAGGAGGCAGCACCAAGGGGATGCCACTTGAACAAAATCCCAGAGCACTATATGGAACTCAGGTGAAGGGCATTCTGAGAAAGGGAACAGCCAATGCAAAGGCCCTGACATAGGAGTATTTGGGGGCGTGTTCTAGAAACATGGAGGCCAGCATAGCTGGAACAAGATGAAATAAGGAGGTGGGAGGGGAAGTGGAGGCAGATCCTTTGGAGCTTTGTGAACCATAGAACTGGGATTTCCCTTGAGTGAGTTGCTGTGGGAGGGCTCTGAGCAGAGAAAGGATGTTTCCTATCACTGGTTAGGACTCTCTCCCCTCCATGCCTACAGCCTCCTGACTCATGCTAAGTGTCCTTGTGATCCATTGGTTCAGAGCTTCCATATTAGAGAACCAGGGCTTGAGTTTTGCCTCCAACACCTTGGGCTTGAAACTTAACCTCACCAAGATTCAGTCACCTTATCTGGGGATTGGGGAGTCAGTGAGATGACACCTGGAGTCCAAATGCATGCAACACACAGAGCCACAGATGCAGAAGGTGGGGGAAAGAGTATGATTGACAGCCAATGCAAAAGAAAAAGAATTTCTTCCAGGGTAAAAATGATGGGTGCTTCATCAGAGGCAGTGTGAGTGGGAAAGAGGCAATGGTTTGGGGGACGGAGGCAAAGAGGAGCCAAGATGCTGTCTAGGCATTGGACTTGGATGCTGTGGTCGGTAGCACTGGCGCTGGGAAGGGGACCTGGAAGAGGAAGAATAGGTAATGAAGGGCTTCATTTGTCTAGTAGACAGTTCACTGCCGAAGTTAGGAACCAATATTCCCAGTTGAAGTCTCTGCATTTGAGGAGTAGAAATTGTTCCAAGAATATTTGTTATAGCTCCTGACATATTTAGCTGTGTCCTTGCTTTTTTATTTTTGAATCAGGGTCTCCCACTGTAGCACAGTCTGGCCCAAAACTCACCATGTAGTCTAGCCCTTAACCTGTGGCAATCCTCCTGTCTCAGCCTCTCAGGTGCTAGGATTACAGGTTTGAGCCACCATGCCCAGCTTTTTTTTTTTTCCTCCCTAAATCCTTTTTCTATTATAATAGTTATCCATCTTTGTCCCCATGGTATATTAAAACTTTTATAATTTCTGTCAGCATTAATATATAATGGGTGTCAGCTGGGCATGGTGGCAGTCTGGAAGTGGAGAGAGGATGATTGTGAGTTGGAGGCCAGCCTGACTGCCTAGTGAAACACTGTCTCCAGAAAAAATATATTTTTAATTAGCTAGTATCTCTACCCTCCCATCTAGGTGACTAAGGACTTTTGTATTATTTCACTTTCCTATGACTCCAGATCTGCCTATCCCCCCTGCCCCCGCAAATGCTCTGTGTCTCCCATATCCAGGTGGGAGGACCCTCTTACCATCTCTGGCTCTCAGGAAGAGTATGAAGACTCTGTTTGGGTCCAAGCATAACGAAGGTGGTAGCCAGTCTCAGGGGTCAGGGCTAGTGTATAGGAGAGATCTTCCTCTGAGCCTGTTTGTGGTGTGATGGTGGAAGAGATGTGGCTTTGACAGGAGGGACCCCATAACCTTAGGAATGAACCCCATCCTCCAGGCCCTCTTCCCAGTACTGTTGCGCTCTGGGTCTTACCACAGGTGGCAGGAGGAAGTGGTGTGGCTGGCACAGGAGCTCCTGGGGGGCCTATGTCATCCTTAGTCGCTGGCCTCTTCTTACACTCCACCCTCACTTGGTCCCTGCAGTGTCTGTGACAACACAGCCCACAGTCTAGGGCAAAGGAGCCATTAATGACCTCATTCTTCCAGTCTGCAAGTCCTGGAGTCCCTCCCGCTCAAGGGCACCTCACTTACCCTGACAACGATACCCTCGCTTGGTGACACCCCAGAGCTGGGGAAAAAAGGAGATTTGGTCAGCCAGACTAGAAGAGGGAGTGTGGGAGGGAGGGGATAGAAGCGGTAAGGTTTTGAAATTTCTCAAGAATTTGGAATTTCAACCAAGATTAAAGGAACTTGGAGATTACCTCAGGCTTGGGAATCACCTAGGATATTACAGTTAGGTAAACTTCTGAGTTAATAAAATACACATTTCATGGGTGGGGACTGTTTGTATAGTTCCCTGGTACCTCCAGGTCCTGGAATTGCCTGGCTCATGAGAGGTGCTGAGTAGACAGTGTTGAATAAATTCACCTGGGGAGCAAGCTGAGATTTGTGGATTAGTCTTGATTTGAAAGTTGTGGTCTGTCCACTATCAAAAATTTGAGGCCAGGTGTGGTGGCACATACCTGGAGTTCCAAAGACACTAAGGTAGGAGGATCAGAAGTGAGGAAAACCACACAAAAAAAATCAAGGATGTCTTTCGTTTAGAAATGATGCAGGCTCGGATGGTTCAAGTGTTCAGAAATTACAGACTGAGATCTATCTATCTATCTATCTATCTATCTATCTATCTATCTATCTATCATCTATATCTATCATCTATCTTTTTTTTTTTTTAAGATAGGGTCTCACTATGTAGCTCTGGCTGACCTGGAATTTGCTATCTAGACCAGGCTGGCCTGCCTGGAACTCACAGAAACACAGAGATCCACCTGCCTTGGCCCCCCAAGTACTAGCATTAAAGATTACACCACCATGTCCTCCTAGAGACTAATTTTTAAATATTTTTTTTTAATTTTTATTAAAACATTTTATCTATTATTTTTATTTTATGTGTATGCCTGCATGAATGTAAGTGCACCCGTGTCATGCAATGCCCGTGGAGGTCAGAAGAGGGCATCGGATCTCTTGGAACTGGAGTTATGGATAGTTGTTAGCTGCCATGTGGGTGCTGGGAGTTGAACCCAGGTCCTTTACAAGATCAGCCAGTGCTCTTAACTGCTGAGCCATCTCTCCAGCCCCCAAATTTGCTTTATTTTAAATAATTTGAGTTTTTATTTATTTATTTATTGGATTTTTTTTGGTCTTTTTGAGACACGGTCTCCCTGTAGCCCCAACTGGCCTGGAACTCACTATGTAGATCAGGCTGGCCTCAAACTCACAGAGATCCGCCTGCCTCTGCCTCCTGAGTGCTGGGATTAAAGGCATGTACCACCATGCTCAGCTATTTTGGTTATTTTTGAGACAGAGTCTCCCTGTGGTCTCAGCTGACCTAGAACTTGCTATGTAGACCAGGTTGACCTCAATCTCAGAGAGCCCACCTGCCTCTGCCTCCCAAGTGTTGGAATTAAAGGCATGTGCCACCACACCAAGCTCTTGAATAATTTGTTATTAAAAATTTAAAAATGTACTACCATTGTGTGTGTATTGGGGGGGCACTAGGGCCACAGCATCTGTATGGAGGTCAGATGACAAATTTGTGGAATCAGTTCTCTCCTGCCACTGTTATGTGGGTCCTGGGGATTGAACTCAATCTCTAAGGTTTTGTAGCAAGCATCTTTACCAGCTGAGATATCTTGCTGGTGACTTTTTGGGAGGAGCTGGGTGGGACACTGTCTCATTCTAAATGTGGATCAGGCTGACCTGGAGCTCCTTATGTAGCCCAGGCTGGATTCAGACACATGGAAAGCCTTCCACCTCAGCTTCCCAAGTGCTGGAATCACAGACATGGGTCACAAGGCCCAGCTACAGTTATTGTTTATTTTTAAATTTTATTTGTGTGTGTGTGTGTCTTCTTGTCTGTAAGTGTACTGCATGTATACAGGTGCCCTCAGTGCTGAAAAGAGGGCATTGGGTTCCCCTAAAACTGGAAATATAGGTGGTTGTGAGCTGCTTGATGTGGGTGTTAGGAACCAAACTTAATCTTAACTGCTGAGCTATCTCCCCAGTCCTATTATTTTTTAAAAAACAAGGCCTCATGGAGCCCAAGCTGGCCTCAAACTCATTATGTAGCTGAGGATGACTCGAACTCCAGATCCTCTTGCCTCTATATCCTAAGCACTGAGATTTCAGGCATGTGCCTCTATGCCCAACTGGAGACTGATTCTATTTGGACACAATCTACCAGGTTTGCAGATTATCCAGCATTGTGGAAATTACCCAGGACTTCAGATATTATTCATGGCTTGGCCATTGTCTGGGGTGGACATTACCTGGCATCATGTAGAGCTTGATTAAGTGGGATATAGGAATGTCCAGTATTCAGTGCTTATATGAATGATGTGGAATATCTGAGGCTGGGGCTTTCTGGAAGTGGGGCATTTTCTGGCTGTGGGGACTGTCTGTCTTCTAGGGCAGTTCCCTGAGCTGGGTTGTGACAAGCTGGGACAATCCAGGGGCGACAGGGCCAAGGCTGCTAACAGGGTTGAGTGCTCACGAAGCCACCGCAGTTGTGACAGAAGCTAGGCTTGCGGAAGGTGACCTCATGGAAGGTGTGCAGGAAGGACAGGCCCAGCTTGGAGCAGATGGCACTGGCACGGAGCAGGTACTCAGTCAGCTCCTCTCTGCTGAAGGAGCCGCTCCTGAGGGGCAAAGGCTGCACCTTAGCACTACTGGCCTCTTCTCCCTCCCACAAAACATCCTGGCCTATCCAAGATCCATTTTTTTTTTTTTTTTTTTTTGAGACAGGGTCTCACAATACAGCCCTGGCTTGCCAGGAACTCGCTATGTATAGACCAGGCTGGCCTTGAACTCACAGAGTTCCCCTGCCTCTGCCTCCTGAGTGCTGGGATTAAAGGCAGTACCATACCCATCATAATCCTTATTTGGGGGGAACCCAGGAGTCAGGGTATCTTACCCCTGGCGGGGAGGCGGGTGAAGCCCATGGCAGGCAAAGGGGAAGTTGCCCGAGAGTCGCTCAAAGTCCTCCTGAGAGATGGTGCCATGGCCTTCTGGGTCGTAGTTCTTGAACACAGACTTCAGAGGAGCACAGAGAGTATATTGAGGCCAAGGCCTCCAGGTTCAGCCCGGTGGGCTTGACTCCCTCACCCCTTCCCATATGGTACTCCTCCACCAGACCACAATCCCTCCTCACCGCCACCAGCTGTTCCACATGCCGACCCAGGGTCACGCTGTCTGGCTTGGGTGTCACACCAGGGGCCCACTCTACCACCAGAGGTGCTTTGTAGGGGGAGGGTGTCTGGAAGGACACACACAGAGGAGCACAGTTACTCAGGGTGTAGGTTTGGGGGGGCGGGTCAGAGGTCAGAACTCACCAGACTCTTGGAACAGCGAGGTTCCCGGGCATAAGAAAGCTCGTAGATCTCATCTTCGGTGTAGAAGAGATCCAGGGAAAGCTGGGGAATGGACAGGGCATTAAAGTCCCTCCTTATGACAGTCTCTGCCTGGCCCCAGCTCCCCAGCCTCTTTCTAAGACCCTTTGGACCTGTCCTGGCACAGCTGTCACCTTTCATACCGGTCCCTTCCCAAACCAGGACTGCTTTTGTTTCCACTGATGCCCTCCCCCGCCCCCCCTTTTTTTTTCCTGCTTTCCAGACAGATTCTCATTATGCAGCCCTGGCTGGCCTGAAACTTGCTATATGGACCAGGCCGGCCTCCAACTCACAGAGCTCTGTCTGCCTCTGCTTCCCAAGTGCCAGAATTAAAAGCACGTGTCACCACACCCAACTCATTTTTGATTGAGTCTTCTCAGCTACACTCTGAAGTAAGTCGTGATTACCTCCATTTTTCAGGTAAGGAAACTGAGGGATTAAGTGATTTTTCCCAATGTCATACAGCTAGCTAGTCCCCCTAGGAGCTGTGGCTTCAAAAATCTTGAGTTCCATGAAGCCCACTGCTGGGCCTCCCGGTTCATGCCTGTAATCGGTTTGGAGGCTGAGACAAGAGGATTGCTGTCTCAGGGTTCCAGGCCATCCCCAGCTACAGTCTGAGACCCTGTCTTGGACAAATAAAATAAAATAGAAAGAAAAAGAAGAAGAAAAATGCTTGGGTTGGGCATGCAGCTTAGTGGTAGAGCACTTGCTTAGAATCCCCCAGTGAGGGGTTGGGGGTATGGCTCAGTGATAGAGCACCTGCCTAAAATCCCCTAGTGAGGATTTGGGGGTGTGGCTCAGTGGTAGAGCACCTGTCTAGAATCCAACAGTTAGGATCTGGGGGTGTGGCTCTGTAGAGGAGTGCTTATATACTATAGGTGAGGTCCATGTTTTCAATCCCCAGCATGGCAAAAACCAAACCAACCAACCAAACAAACAAAACCCCTCATTCCACAGCTACTTATCCTGATCCTGCAGACCCCCAGGGGCCTAGGACTCTAAATATTGGTCCCCCAGGTCTTCAGGGGGCTCAAGGTACACAGAGCACACAGTTCACCGTAAGCAGATGTAGTAAATCCTCATTGGCATTGCAGGGAGGATGCTGCTCCTGGAGTGCGGCCAGCTCCTGCAGCCGTAGGTAGAGGCTATTCAGCTTGGGCAGGTGCAGGCGGCCATCTGGCAACCTGTCAGGCTGGGCCTCATGCAGGGAGACCAAGTCTTTGAGGTGCACACCCAGTACAGGCAGCCGGAAGCCAGTGCAGTTGGACCAGGTGCGGCGGTACCTGGCGTAGTTGTTGTGGGAGGAGAGGAGCTCTGTCAGCTCCAGCAGGGCCTGTATGGAAGGTGCAGTGCTATGGACCAGAGAGGTTCTGCTCTGAGCCTCCTGGAGGACAGAATCCTAGCAGCCTCCTATGTGGGCTTTAGACCCCTAGGAACTCATGGAATTTTAGGCACCTCTTACAACTCTTCTACATCACCCATTGACCTCAGTCAATGGTGATGGGACCCTCTTGGATCCCCATCTCAGAGAAGCCCCATTATCTACCATTCTGCAAGAGAGAGTGATTTTTTTTTTTTTTCCCCTTTTGGCCTATTTTCGACAGGGTTTCCCCGTAGACCCAGCTGGCCTGGAACTCACTATGTAGACCAGGCTGGGATTAAAGGCATGTGCTACCATACCCAGCTTAAGATAGAGTGATTTTGTACAAACCTATAAAGCCTAAACTGCTTAGCCCAGCTTGTAGGATTCAAAGAATTATTCCCGTTTTTCTGCCACTAACTGTCCTTAGCCACATGACAGAATCACGAATCACTTGATCTTCCCAGAGGCTTTCCAGAACATACCCAACATGTGTTCTTCCCTTGGATGACACAAATATTGACATCTTTGGATGGGTGACTTAGCTCGCCACCTGGTCTGGCCAATTCTCTGTTAGCATTTCTCTGTCTCCCTTATAGCCCTGCTCAGGACCACACTCACAATAGAGAGTGCTTGCCTAAAATCTACCAGTGAGGGATTGGGGGTGTGGCTTAATGGTAAAGCACCTGCCTAGAATCAATCATTGTGAGGCTGGGGTGTGGCTCAGTGGTAGAGCACTTTCCTAGAGTCCACCAGTGAGAAGCTGGGGTGACTCAGTGGTAAAGCACTTGGCCTAGAGTCTATGAGGGAGGGACTGAAGCATAGCTCAGTGGTGCAGCACCATGGTGGGTGGGAAAAATGAGAGTAGCCAAGGATCTGTGGGACTTGGAGGAGCAAGGTCCTAGGTTGGTTCTAGAGCCCTTGGATAGAGACTGATGGCAGTTGGGGAGTGATATGTGGGGGTCCACGACACGTAACCACTTTGAACTTTGGGGACGGTAAGGGGGATTACCTTGGTGCTGTCAGGACTCAGGTGGGCGTGGGAGTCCTTGAGTCTGGAGATGGCACTATGACACAGACCCCCTGTGACTGCCATCAGCGTGTTGAAGTTCTGTAGCTGGTGGAGCCTCTAGGAAGGGAAGTGATGTCAGAGGTAGGATGTCCCAAAGATTAGGAACATGGAGCGGGAGCTGAGTCAGTGGCCTCAGTCAGTTGTGATTGTGGACCAATGTGGGCATGGGGCAGGTGTGAGCAGGTAGGTTTGTCAGGCAGACAAGGTTCCAGGCAAGTACCAGGAACTGGACAGACTTGGAGAATAGAAAGATTTGTGTCAGCCAGGAGTAGAGAAGGTTTAGACATAAGTCAGGTGTCAGGGTGTCAGACAGGTCTGAGACTCACACAGGTGAAGGCATGGACTGTGATTGGGGTCCAGGTAGAATCAAACAGGCCAAGAGTGACATGGAAGTGTAACATAGATGTGGGACAGATGTTAGGTCCATGGGGCATTAGGGAAATTCCCTCTGCCCTTCCCTCTCCCAAGCTTGAAGGGTGGTGGTCACTGGAGAGGTGAGGCAGGACCAAATAGAAAATGCTCAGGCCAAGAAGACCCCAGGCTAGTGCCAGAGCCCCCAGATTTAAAAAGCTCAGCAAGATATAGCTCAGTGGAAGAGCATTCATCTAGAATCCATCAGCAAACATGCAGGAGGCCCTGGGTTCAATCCATAGGACTGACATTTTAAAATATATATCATATTACATATTATAAACCTATATTTTAAGATATAAATCTATATTTGAAGATATATCTTCAAGCAAGAAGCAGCAAAGAAATGGAAGCTTTCTAAGGAAGGGTGTGGCCTTCTTGGAAATATATAATGGGGCGTGGCCACAAGGCTTCCCTTTTCCCAGAAGGGAGGGAGAGGAAGGGTGGGTTGAGACTCAATGGGTTGGGCCACAGAGAGACTGGGTGGCTTGAAGAATAATATAGTCACTGTCCCAAAGAAATTGAGGGGACCTAGGGACTAGAGCTAGGACCTCATTGCTGGATGACGCAAAGCTAAGGGCATGGAAAGGCAGTTTTCACTGCCCTGGGATAGAATATCTGTCCGGCTTGGGAGATGGCGCCTGGAGGGACCCAGTTAACTCCTCTACCTACATAGTCAAGAGGTGGCCAAGGAAGATCTGATGCTGTGATATCAAGGTCACAGTCTAGAGTTTGAATCCCTGGAGGTGTGGCTTTGGAGGCATGGCCTGGGTGTGATGTGGGGGTGCTGGTGGAGAGGTGTCAATAGCGGGATGGCCTGCTGGGATCAAGAGCCTGGAACTTTAGCCAACTGGAATATGGAGGGTCAGGTAGCTCTCCCAACCTCACAGTTCCCCCACCCCACCTCTAGGCTGGATGGTCAGGGACTCACCTGTGCCACATGAATGAATTTGTCTAGCACCTGGGCACGTTGTGCAGGTCCTGGACGACTCAGCACCATGACCTGCACCCAGCGGGACACGCTATTGCTGAGACCCACGGAACTTTCCAGAGCCAGGCAGCCCCTCACTGAGCCCTGCAAAACGTAGCTTCGAAGGTCCTGGGGCTGAGGACAAGGCTGGCGTCAGTGTGGCCCATGGTGCTCATGTGCCATCCTTCTAGCAGGTGTGATCTCTAGTGTTCTAGCTTAGTCTAGCCTTACTCATCTGTCTCCCCCCAGCCCAGGCTTCCAGGGGTCCCCTGACATCATCATGTTCTTCCCCAGTCTGTGTGCTCATAACTGTGAGCCCGACTGGTGCACAGTTAGGGAAAGGAAGGATGGGGACGAGGGAATGAAACCAGGTTCTACTTGCACTGCCCAATGATATGTACATTCCACATTCATACACACACACACACACACACACACACACAGGCACACACACACACAGGCACACACAGCAGCTCAATCTTTGTCACCTAAAGAAACCAGGTCCCCACATCCCTCAAAACAATGTCTAGACGTTAACAGCTAACACCTATCAACATTGATACACATGCAGTTGACTTTTAGGGAAGTGAAATATGGCAATTTCAAATGGTTTATCCAGGTAGGGTTCACTCTAGTTCTTGGGGGGATGGGGGTACTGGTAAGAAACTGTTAACCTTTTCTTTTTTGGAGACAGGGTCTCACTATGTAGGTCTGACTGGTCTGGAACTCACACTATGTAGACCAGGCTGGCCTCCCCAAATCAGAGAAAAAGATCTGCCTGCTCCTGCCTCCAAATGCTGGGATTAAAGGCATGTGGGTCTTTCTTTTTTTTGTAGCAGATGAGGGAACTAAGGTACAGTGAGTTGAATAAATGAATAGCTGATAAAAATATTTTGAGTATGTAACTATGAGCTTATATTGCAATAAGCATTTTTGTTTGTTTGTGACAGTCTCATGTAGTCCAGGCTGGCCTTACTCTCTGTCCTCCTTCAGTCTCCCAATTTCTAAGATTGTAGGACTCTGCCACAATATCCTGTTTCAATAAGCACTTTTAAATGTTTTAATTTTTTAAAAAATTTATTTTCTATGTATATGAGTGTATTATGCTCATATGTGTATGTGTACCCATGTCGTGCAATGCCCATGGAGGACAGAAGAGGGCGTTGGATCCACTGGAACTGGAATTACTGATGGTTGTTAGCCGCTATGTGGGTGCTGGGAATCAAACCGGGGTCTTCTGAAAGAGCAGCCAGTACTCTTAACCACTGAGTCATCTCTCCAGCCCTTTTTTATTTCTTAAATATTTTTATTTTTTAAAGATTTATTTTCATTTTGTGCATATATTTTTCCTGCATGTACATGAATGTACAACATGTGTGCTTGGTGACCTCAGAGACCAAAAAAGGGCATCGGTTCCTATGGAACTGTAGTTTACAGCAGTTGAGCCACCATATGGGTGCTGGGAACTGAGCCTGGGTCCTCTTGCAAGAGCAGCAAGTACTCTTAACTACTGAACAATCTCTCCAGTCCCTTAAATGGGCTTTTTAATTCCTCCAGTTACCCAATGAAGTATTATGACCTCTATCCTCCAAACAGGTGCCTGAGAGGTAGGGAGACATAGTTCAAAGTTACCTAGGTAAAAAGAAGCTGTAGCGGATGGGGATGTAGTTCCGTTGATAGACTGCTTGCCTAGCATGAATGCCCTATGGTTTAATTTACAGTGTTGCATAAACTAGTTGTAGTGGTGTATGTCTGTAATCCCAGCACTCAGGATGTGGGGGAAGGTGGATCAGAAGGTCAAAGAAAGTTATCCTTGACTACATAGTTTGAGGTCATGAGACCCAGTCTCAAAATAAATAAAAAAAAGTAAGGCCAGCAAGATGGCTCAATGGATAAAGGGGCCTGTCACCAAGCCTGACAACCTGCCTGAGAGGGATTCCTGGGACCCACATGGTAGAAGGAGAGAATCGACTCCTACAAGTTGTCCTCTGACCTCCATATGCGCATCTGCACACACATCCACACATGCACATACAAAATAAAGTGTAATTTTAAATCTTTTAAAGGAAGAAAGGAGGTAATGGGATTTGAACCTAGGGGCTCTGTGCTCAGCCAGCGCCTTGTCCCAGACCTTCTTATTGTCAGGTTGACCATGTCAGAGTTTACAGTATGGACTGGGAATGTAACTGAGTAGTAGAGAGCTTGCCTTGCATAGGTAACGCCCTGGGTTCAATCCCCATTGTTGCTAACATACAGTAATAGTAATAATAAAATTTACAATCCCAGATGGATGGCTGTTCCAGGGGTCCCCCCATCTCTGTCCTGCTCAGGGACAGGCTGAGGAAAGTTCTCACCGTGATGGCCTGGAAGGACCGGAACTCCAGGTAAGTGAGGTGCTGAGCCAGCTCCTCTGTCTCCAGGTGATCGAACAGCAGGGACACTTTCCGCTTCTTGCCCAGGCCTGGGCTGCTCATGAGAGGTGGGGGCCCAGGCCCTCTAGGGCTCAGGCTGGAGGCCAAGAGGGTTGGATTATTGGAGTGGATCAGAATTGAGGGTCTGGGGACATGGAGGGTGTGGGCAGAATAGAGTGGGACAGAGAAGTAGGTAAGGCTGGCTCACAGGTTGGAGGCATCTCCCAGGCTCCTCTGGGCTGAGCTGCCCTCCCGAGCCACAGTAGCCCAAAACTGACTTATAACTTCTTCCAGTTGGGGCTCCTGGTGTACTGCCTCTGGGTGCTGGGTCAGCCAATACCTGGGAGGGGTTTAGAGATGGGAAGTCATCTCAATGGTGCTCCAAATGAACATGGGCTGGTGGAACAGGGGATGGGGAGAGTCTCTACCAGGGGGTTTTAGGCTAAGGAATTTCTAAATGCTAAACTAAAGGCATCTACGCATGTGCAGAGGGTTTCTGAAAGTCAGGGTTCGCAGGGATAATTCTGAGGTGAGAGGATGGAGGATCATTGGGGTAGATTGGATGTTTCAGAAAACAGAATGGGCAGCTGAGTGTGGTGGCACACACCTTTAGTCCCAGAACTTGGGAGGCAGAAGCAGGAGGATCTGTGAGTTTGAGGCCTGCCTGGTCTACACAACATGTTCCAAGCCAACTGGAGCTACAGGGAGACCCTGTCTCCAAAACACCAAAACCAAAACCAAACCAAACAAAACAGAATGGGGAGTTCCTGGGACTTTTAGAAAGCAAGATGGAGGCATCAGGAACCAGCTGGGGTAAGATTCAGGGAGTCATGATGAAACAGTCTTAGGAGTATGTGGGGAGTGGGGACTTCTGGGATCAGAGCTGATGGTCTCCAGGTACCAGATGGGAGAGACTATGGGATCTGGTTGAGTTGAAGGTCTCCAAGAACTGGGGGTTCTAAGGAGCAGAGCTGAGAGGGTCTCAGGAATTAAGCCAAGGGTGTTTTAACTAGGATTTCTACCCCCTTTTGAGACAGGGTCTTACTCAGTAGGCCAGGCTAGCCTTGAACTTGAGATCCTCTTACCTTAGCCTACCTGTGCTAGGATTACAGGTGTGAGCCACCACTTAGGCTTAGTGTGGGGCTGAGTGAATCTGTGGGGGAACTGGACTGGGAATCTTGGAGGTTTGGAGGGCATCAGGATGGTGTCTTAGTTCATGGGATTGTGGGTCTTGACCCAGCTCTACCTGACCAGATAGCAGATCTGTAGCTGCCTCAGCTCCTGTGCGTCTTTGGCAGCCTTCTGGTACTTGAGTTCTAGTCAAGGCTATTTTCCAGCATCCTGATTTGCCTAGTCCCCTTGTCCCCATCTCCCAGGAGTTCATGGCTCTGTCCTCAACCCTCTGTACACAGATCATGGCTCTGGAAGGATATGAGGTCAGCAGACGGGCAGCAAGGTCAGAGGAAGGCAGCACCCAGCTGTGCATGGTGAGCACCATGTTGAGAATGTGATTCCCACGGCACAGGCTGCCGGTTGAGTCTGGAGGAGGGAGAAGCGGGGGTCCTGTCAGAATGGGCCCTGAGCAATAGACCTACAGTCTCCAGAAGTGGGGGACAGGCTGGTTCAGACACTAACTCTACCAGTGACGCCTTGTACAAACTTGGGCAAGTAACATAACCTCCTCATGCCTCAGTTTCCCTATCTGTGCAGTGCATGGGCTAGAGACAAATAGCAGGAATTTGGTTCCCTGTCCTCATCCCAAGGTGTTTCTCTAAAAAAAAATCCTTAGATTTGTTTTTATTACTTTAATACGTGTGTGTGCCTATACTTGGGTTTGTGTGCAAGACTGCAGGAAGCCCTTAAGGCCAGAGGTGTTCGATTCCCTGAAACTGGAGTTATAGGCTGTTGTGAGCCACCCAATGTAGGTGCTGGGAACTGAACTCAGATCCTCTACCAAAGCAGTGTGTGCTCTTAACTGCTCAGTCATCTCTCTAGCCCCCTCTTAGTTTTAAATTTTTATTATTTATTTTTAGTTCTGGTCTCTGCTATGCTACAGCTGAGCCACACCCCCAGCCCCTCACTGGTAGATTCTTGGCAAGCGCTGAGCTGAGCCATCTCTCCAGTCCCTTTTACTTTATATATATATTTTTTTCCAATATTTATTTATTTTTATTTTATGTGTATGAGTGTATTGCCTGCATGTGTGTAAGTGCACCTGTGTAGTGCAATGCCTTTGAAGGTCAGAAGAGGGCGCCATATCCCCTGGAACTGGAATTATGGAAGGTTGCTACCACCATGTGGGTGCTGGGATTCCAATCAAGGTCCTCTGCAAGAGCAGCCAGTGCTCTTAACTGCTGAGCCATCTCTCCAGCCCTCTTTTACTTTATATTTTGAGACAGAGTCTCACTAAGTGGCCCAGGCAGGTCTTGAACTTTTGATCCTTCTGCCTCAGTCTTCAGAGTAGCTGCATCCCACGCCCGGTTTATCCTTCATGAAGGGATCAGATTCGCCCATTCACCCACTTTCCTTACCAGTGAGGCAGAGCTGGGCTTGCCAAACCCAGGGCTAGGGCTGGGGAGGCTTCCCAGGGCAGGGCTACTCACCGAAGCACTGGATGCATTTCTCCAGTAGTTCGTCTTCACTGCAGCTGCCCTCACTCAGCACCCCCAGATTCATGGCAGCCATAACTTTGCTGATTTCCCGCGGGCTGGGGCACGTCTTGTGGCGTCGGGCCTGTCGGGGCCGGCCCTGCCCTCCTGCCTTCGTAGAGCATTCCTGATGGGACTTCCTGTAGGTATACCCACCCCCAAAGAATCAAGGGAACCCCTTGCTTTGAGTAGACTCCCAGAATTCTTGACCTGGGTTCCTGTAGACACCTTGGGAGAAAATTCTTAAAGACCAAATCTCAGGGCTACCTACCATAGATTCATGGGCAAAACAAAACAAAACACCCAAGAATATTCCAGATCTCCTAGGGAATTATGGTCAAAGACCCCAGGACCAATGACCCTCCAAAATCATAAGAACTCCCTCCTCCAGGCATTGACCTCAAATTCCCCTTTAAAAAAAAAATTACTTACTTTAGCTAGTATACAAAATAATGGGTTTCATTATGATGTTTTTCACACATAATACATCAATATATATTGTACTTTGTTTCTATTTGTCCTCTACTTCCCTCACCCATCTGTCTTCCCTCATCCCATTGCTTCCTTCCCCCCCAAATAAGTCCCCTTTCAGCATTCTTGTCATATGTGTACATGTATGCTTATGTGTGCATGTGTGTGTAAACTTATGTCTAGATTCCACAAGTGAAAACATGCACAATTTTGCCTCTCCCCACTTACCCCCTCTTTTTTATATTATTTTATTTTATGTGTATTGCCTGCATGTGTGTAAGAGAACCCATGCCATGCAATGCCCAAGGAGGTCAGAAGAGGGCGTCAAATTCCCCTGTAATTAGAGTTATAGCCAGTTGTTAGCTGCCATGTGGGTGCTGGGACTCGAATGCAGGTCCTCTGCAAGAGCAGCCAGTGCTCTTAACTGCTGAGCCATCTCTCCAGTTCCCCACTTACCCTCTCTTATTCCTCCCTCCCCTCAAATTCCTCTTGACAATACAGTCCCAAAGCATCATGGGGGTAATATCCTGTAAACAGACTCCTCAGATTCATCCTCAGCTAGTAAAGAACCCATAAAAAGGACCCTAGAACCAATTGCTGGCTCCCTAGGCCACCTCTAAACCACCCCTTGGGTCTGCAGAAGTGGCACCTGGTGGCCCAGTTGTGGGGCAGACTCATGTGGTCAGGTCCCCCAGAGTGCATCTCTCCCCTCTTCTCCTGCTTAATAGGGTTCAGATCCAGGCGACCCCAGACCCAAAAACCATAAGGCCCCTAAGAGGAACTGAGTCAACCAACACCCAGCCACGTGCAAGCTAACAAAAGCAGCTCCGGGAATTAATGACCCAATGTATTGTGATCACCAGAGCATGCTCCACAGGTTGACAAACAGGTTTCCCAAGCCCTTAGCTGCAATGGGTTCCTGGAACCCCGTGATTGTAGAAAACATGTTTTACAGTAAATGTTTTCCTCGATAAGTTTCACCGGTACAGACCCCACACCTTCCCTGAGCAAAGAGCCCCCGAAAACAGCAAAGAACATCGCCCCCCCCCGCATTCTTTCTCTATATAAACTACCCCCCTACAGCCATTAGGCTGCTGCTTTTTCCTCACACTCGAGTTGAGGACCAGCCCTGCCAACCTTTAAACTCTTTGTTTCTGTTTCTCAGCGATCCTGACCCCTACCGCCCTTCTATCTAACACTGCTTAGTCCCTGTGAGGCAGCAGATCCCTCCTCTAAACTAGCCTTGCATATGCAAGAGTCTTAGCGTCTTAGCTTCTGGCCTGGGCCTTGGATTTGGAGCCCTGAGAGGAACTACCGGAACCTCTCCAGGGCTCCTCAGAGCTAGGCAGGGTCCCTGAGGGTACTGCAGCTTCAAGGGAAGTTTAAAAATAACCCTCGCTCTGTCCTATGCCTCCCCAGACCCTGTCCCAGGTGGGAAAGGGGGTAATGGAGAGACAAGAGTCAGGGGTGGTGGGAAGAGGAAGGGCGGGATTGAGGGACGGGGAAAGATTCCAGGCTTCAGAGTCAGATAAAACTGGCTTCCAGAAATTTCTCTTGGCTGTGTGCCCTTTCATGAATCAATTTCTCTGGTTAGTTTGGTCCTCCTATGAAAACCATCTTTGGATTTTTCTCTGGCTCCACAGAGGTGCCCAGCCTGGTAAATAACCAGGTGGGGAAGATGCATCTGATGCAGGAAGGAAAAGGAGAGAAAGCTGGGTGGGGTGGGGGTGCTCCTGTAATCCCAGTTACTGGGGAGATTGAGGCTTGAAGACTGCAAGTTCGGTGTCCAGCCTGGGTTATAGAGCAAGACCCTAGCTCACAAAACAAACAAGAGAGGAGGAAGCGGCCAGGCTTGCAGCATGAATGTGAAACCGCAAACACGGACACCCTAAAACAAATCTGCCTTGGCCTCTGGTAGGTACATCGTGAGGGCTCAATATGCCTACTAGGTGTTAAATAATACTGGGCATTTATTGAGCACTGGCCGAGGACTGAGCACTCTATACAGATCAGGGATTTCAAGCACGGGTACCCACAGCGTCACTCACCGGAAAGCTCAATACAAACACAACTTCTCAGACCTCACCACAGACCCACAGAATCCAAAACTTTAAGGGTGAGTCAGTAACTTGTGTTTTACAAGCCGTCTATGTGATTTAATGACACAAGCTCAAGTTTGAGAACCAGAGGTCTAGACAGGCTCATGAAAGACTCATAAGCACGTCTGAAGTAAGGTCTATGATTAGTCTGTTGATAGAAGGAGAAACTGAGGCACAGAGCAGTTGAGTAACTTACCAAAAGTCACACAGCCAGGAAATGAGGCAGCTAAGATTCTCCTCACTAAACCGCTGAATAAGGGGAGGAAACTTCCCCTTTGCTCAGCAGGATCACCCTGGGAGAGGCTGGAGGAGCTATCCAGGCTGGGAACTCAACACCATCCATTCTTATGTCAACAGCAGGACAAGCATCCCCAGGAGACTGAAGCCCATGTCAGATTCTGCAAGCAACTGCCTGACCCTTACCTGCAGACCAGCAGCCCCCTGTAGATTGTGCAGCAGTCAGGAGTGGTTTAAGAGGTAGGGGAGCCACCTGGTCTTGCATCACACACCTCCCTCCTGGGGCACAGCCCTCCAGGAGCCTGGAGTTTCCAGTCCAGGGGGCAGCAAACATAATGGGGAACAGGGAAGACCCCAGGGAGGACAGAGACACCCAGCTGAGGGGGCTGTGATGAAGGGACACAGGATAATACAACAGAAGGGAGAGACTCAGGTGCCCAGCTCCCCAGAGCATCTCATCTCCCAGCGAGGAGTGGGATGCCCTGTTATTAGTATCTCCCCAATCTTGCCACAGTCAGAGGCTCCAGAGCTTGTGATACCTCAGGTCTCCTGAGGGTTGGGGTGGTGGTGGTGGGGGGTCCTCTTACCTCTTGCTGTCTTTCCTGTTCATATTTCCTGGAGTCAGAGGTCGGGGGGCGTCCCAATAGGAGTGTGGCTCAGCTTCTCCCCAGCCAGTGCACCAGCTCCTTGGCCCCTTGGGAGCTGAGGCCTCCCTGGGTGTTTTGGAAGGAAAGAGGAACTGCCCCTCCCCACCCACCCCCCAGGCCAGGGGGAAGGAAGAGGCTGAGGAGAGACCAAAGGCTCCCCTCCCCCTCCTGGGGATCCCTGCAGGCTGAGGTTTCCGGTGCTGCCGCCCCCCACCCTCTGGCCCAGCTGTCTTGCTAGCTATCTCACTATCTCTCTTTCTCCCCATCAGCATCATATTCCAATAAAGGCAACTTTAAAAGCATGACTAATATTTATGTAAAAAACATACTCAAAAGAAAAGTCTGTATTTCTTTTTTTCTTCCCTCTCTCCCTTTCTTTTTCTCTTTTTCTTTCTTTCTTTTTAGACAGTATCTCATGTAGCCCAGGTTGGAATCAAAGTCACTATATAGACCAGGCTAACCTCAAACTGGCAGTTATCCTCCTGCCTCAGCCTCTCCGAATGCAAAGATTACAGGTGTGAACACCATGGTGGGTTTAAATGCCATTTATACCTGGAAAACATTTTCATTTTTACTATTTTATTTTATTTATTTATTTTGGTCTTTTTGAGACAGGGTCTCCTGGTAGCCCAAACTGGCCTGGAACTCACTATGTAGACCAGATTGACCTTGATCTCAAAAATTTGCCTACCTTTGCCTTCCAGAGTGCTGGGATTAAAGGCAAAGGTGTGCCCCATCATGCCTGGCAGCAGTTAAGTATTCTTTTTTTCTTTTTTTTTAAAAAATATTTTATTTATCATTTTTATTTTATGTGTATGCGTGTATTGCCTGCATGTAGGTAAGCACACCCATGTGGTGCAATGCCCTCAGAAGACAGAGAGGCTGTCGGATCCCCTGGAACTGGACTTACAGTTGTTAGCTGCCATGTGGGTGCTGGGATTCGAACCTGGGTCTTCTGCAAGAACAACCAGTGTTCTTAACCGCTGAGCCATCTCTCCAGCCCCAGTTTTTTATTTTAATTTTAACTGTATACACTGTTGTTGTGATGGTAGTTGTTATTTTTAAGTTTTTTGCTGTTTTTAAAAAAATATTTTATTATTTTCCTTTTATGTGTATTAGTGTATTGCCTGCATGTATGTGAGTGCACCCGAGTTGTGCAATGCCGTGGAGGTCAGAAGAGGGTGTCGGATTCCCCTGGAACTGGAGTTAAGGACAGTTCATAGCCGCCATGTGGGTGCTGGGAATCGACCCCGTGTCCTCTGCAAGAGCAGTCAGTGCTCTTAACCGCTGAGCCATCTTTCCAGTCCCGTTTTTTGATGTTTTTTAAAATTTTGATTTGTTTATTTTTATTTTATGTATATGAGTGTTTTGCCTGCATGTAAGTGTACCATGTGTGTGCACTGACTGCAGCAGCCAGAAAAGGGCATAAGAACCCCTGGAACTGGAGTTGCCAACAGTTGTTAGCCTCCATATGGGTGCTGGGAACCAAACCTGGGTCCTCTGTGAGAGCAGTTAGTGCTCTTAACTGCTGAGCCATCATCTCTTTAGTCCCTGTTGTTTTTTGACAGACTGTTTCATGTAGTCCATGCTGGCTTCAAATTCCCTTTGTAGCCTGAGGATAACTGAATTCCTGATCCTCCATCTCCCAAATGCTGGGATTTCAGGCTTGAGCCACCGTGCTCAGTTTACGCAATGCTGGGATTGAACCTAGGGCTTTGAGCATGCTAGGCAAGCACTCTACCAACCAAGCCATATCCCCACCCTCACACTGTTAACATATCATAAAAAAGTGACAGAGGTAACCCTTCTAGAAATCTCCTCCTTCGACTGTCCCTTGTAGGCTGGTTTGAGCAGTACTACATATTACTAGTTTGTATTTCAATTGTTGTCTGTACCTTTATGTACCTAAAATCATGCCCATGGAAACAGACTTTACTTTTGAGTGAGTGTGCTTTGTTCTTTTACCTAAATGTGTCATGTTTGACATATTTTGAATTGACGTGTCAGAAGAGCACACTTTGGTATTTAGGTTGATGAGTTGTCACCAACTGAAGAAACCCAAGTGACATTCACTAAAATCAAGAAACAAAATATTAGCTGGGCTTGGGGCACACACCTGTAATCTCAACACCTGTAAGGTGGAGGTAGGAGGACCAGGGCATCCTGGGCTACATATCGAGTTCAAAGCAACCTTAGTTAAACAAGAATGTGTCTCAAACAAAACAGCCAGGTGTGGTGGTACATGCCTTTAATCCCATCCCTCAGGAGGCTGAGGCAAGTGGATCTCTGAGTTCGACATCAGCCTGGTCTATATAGTGAGTTCCAGACCAGCCAAGGCTGCATTAAAAAAAAAAAAAAAAAAAAAAAAAATCCAAACCAAAAACGCAGACAACTCCATAACATTCTTAACCTCTGTAAGTCCCCTTGTTTTTCCTAACTCCACCAACCTGATGGGTAATAGAGTGCTTCTGACTGGTTTTAAATGCATCTGGATTCATGAATTGTGTCTGGCTTATTGCATTTATCACTGCGTTTTTGTAATTCTTCCATGCTATTTTATTTGATTATAGTTTCTTCCATTTTGTTGATGTGTATTTCATTGTGTGCCAATTCCTTGATTTGCTGATCAATTTGTTTGAAACTGGATAGTTGAGTTGCTTCCCTGGATCTATTACAAGTAACAAATGGGGTGCCGGTGCTAGCCAGCCAAGAAGTACCTGAAAGGGGGAGTGAGGATTGAAAGAAAAAACAAGAGACAGAAAAGATACTTGGGAGGGCTGTCAGCAGAGACTGCAGCCGGGGGTTTGTTTCAGCTCAGCCTTTTTATACAGAAGAACTCAATTAGTTTCAACAGGTGTTTTTCCCACCTGTATCTGAGGGTCAAGGAGCGGTCAAATACTTCAAAGCCTTCTTGGATCTTTTTGTTTACCAACATTGCCTCCAGGTCAGGTATTGTGAGGCTCTCCATATAAACACATTCCTCCTGATTTGGCAGATTAGGTACTGGTGTGCAGAACACAAACTCAGTAAACAAGGCTGCCACAGCTCAATGTACATAATAGACTAACAGCTCCCAACAATGGGGGAGGAGTTTTTTTAATATTTAATTTAAAATTTTTATTTTATGTGTATGCGTATATTGCCTGCATGTATGTAAGTGCAGCCATGTTGTGCAGTGTCCGAGGAGTTCAGAAGAGGGCATCGGAGTCCCCTGGAACTGGAGTTCTGGATGGTTGTTAGCCACCATGTGGATGCTGGGAATTGAATTTGGGTCCTCTGAACCCAATCCGGGTCCTCTGCAAGAGCAGCCAGTACTCTTAACCACTGAGCCATATCTTGAGCTTTTTGTTTGTTTTTAAAGATAGCATCTTATGCTGAGTGTGGTGATGCACACCTTTAATCCCAACACTTGGGAGGCTGAGGCAGGCAGATCTCTGTGAGTTCAAGGCCACCCTGGTCTACACAGTGAGTTTCAGGCCAGCTGGGGCTACAGGGAGACCCTGTCTCAAGAAAAAAAAGAAAAGAAAAAAGAAGATAGCATCTTACTTTCTAGGCCGCCAAAGGTGACCTTGAACTCTTGATCCTCCCACCTCTACCTCCTAAGTGTGTGCTACCACCCCAGCAAAGCATTTATTTTTGCCAGACAGGGATGGAACCCAGGCCAGCATGTTCTAGTGGGCTCTACTGCTGAGAACTGCTGTGAATGTCAAGCATTTGGCTTTGGGTGACCTGAAATACACAATTCTGTAGGGTGCGGGATAAATGGGTCATAGGAGCATCAGTCTGCCAAATCTAGTGCATTAGTCTGTCAAAAAAAAAATCAGTACTTTCAGAAGTGGATGTTGATCCTTTCTTTTTCCTTAAAAGTATTCACCGTTGGTATGTGTGTGTGTGTGTGTGTGTGTGTGTGTGTGTGTGTGTGTATTTTTTACACAAACAAAAAGTCCTACTTTCGTTTTCTCATCAAATGAAGAATCATGGTTTGACACTCTTCCTGGTTCTTCTGTCTCCCCTGTAGCATCTCAAGCAGTGCTTCTATGATCTCTCTCTCTCTCTCTCTCTCTCTCTCTCTCTCTCTCTCTCTCTGTGTGCATGTGTGTTTGGGGGGGTGTCATGTAGCCCAGGCTGGCCTGGAACTTACTGTGTAGCTGAGGATGACCATGAACTCCTGATCCTCTGCCTGCATCTCCCAAGTGCTGGGATTACAGCCTGTGCCACTATACATGCCCCATCTCCTGTAGCACCTGTTCCCAGCTGAATTTAACCTTCAGTTTGGGAATGTTTCCAGGCCCTAGGGACCCAGAAAAGCCCCAGGGAGGAACGTGGGAAAGACCTTGTCACTTCTATCTAAACACTGGCCTTTAGTGGCCTCAGAATGATTATCTGCAACTGAGAACACTGATAACTACAGAGGAAGGGACTTCTGAGTCAAACCACAAAGACCCACAAAGGAAAATGACACGTTTGATAATGTGCAAAATGGGTGTCTTTTTATGAGGACACCATGGGACAAATATTAGATGGCTGGAGGGGAAAAAGCATTTACAATATTTAAAATCAGTCAGAAATTAATATCTAGAGGGTAAAGGAACAGTTATAAATAAAAAACAATGACAGCAACTCTGTTAGAAAAATGGGCAATGGACTGGAGAGATGGCTCAGTGGTTAAGAGCACCTGCTGTTCTTCTTGTTTGTTTGTTGTTTGTTGTTTGTTTTTATTTTATGTGTATGAATGATTTGCCTGCGTGTAAGAGAGCACTTGTGTTTGTAATGTCCACAGAAGTTAGAAGAGGGTGTCAGATACCCTGGAACTGGAGTTATGGACAATTATCAGTTGCCCTGTGGGCGCTTTTAACTACTGAGTTGTCTCTCTAGCCCATGCTTGCTTCTCCATGAGCACCCATGTCAGGTAGCTCACAACTGCCTGCAACTCCAACACCAGGAGATCCGACGCCCTCTTCTGGCATCTGAGGGCACTGCACATACACACACACACACACACACACACACACACACACTGACACTAACACTCATACACACATATAAAAACAAAATAAATCTTTTT